CAGTTGAAAAATAAAGTGAGGGGCAGTATTGCCCCTCCTAATATCTAATTTTAGTTAATTAATAATTAGGTTAGATATTGGTTCCGAATTTTTCACAAAAAGTCTCGGTGAAATTCTACTACCAAAATTGTTCTATCTAGTTAGCAAGGGGTTGAAATGAAAAATGTTCCAAAAAAAATAAGTATTAAATCGCTAATTTCGACACGGAATTTTCTGGCTGAGATTATCCAGGATGCCGAAAGTGATTATGAAAAGGCTGGTGCTATCCAAGCTTTTAAAGTTTGTTATGAGTTAGCCCGAAATACCATGAGAAAGGTCCTGAATCTTCGTGCTGTCCGAGTTGATGATACTCCGAGAGCAATTTTTCGTCTAGCAGGAATAGAAGGTTTAATCTCTGATGTTGACATTTGAATGGAGTTTACCAAAAAAAGAAACCAGACCTCCCATGCTTATGATGGTGAAAAAGCAAATGATATCTTAATTTCTTTACCTGCTTTTCTCCGCGAGTTAAATTTGCTGATTGAAAATTTAGAAGAAATGCCCGAATGCTGCAATTAGAACCTAGACACTACCAAATAATCCAGCAAATACTTAGTAAATACCCCCCTACACTTTTTACGCTTATGGCTCCCGAGTGAAAGGAACCGCCCGTAAGTTGTCAGACCTGGATATTTGCTATCAAGAAGATATTCCCGCTGCGATTGCTTTTCAAATTGAAGAGGAATTTAAAGAAAGTGATTTACCTTTTTTAGTCGAATTAGTTAGTTGAAAGGATATGAAACCTGAATTTAGGGAATTGATTAAGAATGATTTAACTCTAATTAGTGTAAAATAGTTGTATAGTATGTGTTCAATTGATAAAAGGGTTTTTCTAAACAAAAGTCTATATTAAAAAAAACATGACCTTTCTCGCTTTTGGTAATCATACCGTCCGTAATCTAATTAATTCTCCTTATTTTACTTTTAAAAGAATACTTTTGCGCGAAGAACACCACCAGGACAAAGAATTATTACACTTATTGGAACAAAAACAAATCGCGCACCAGTTATTAAATAACGAACAGTTTTCCCGTTATAGTCCTGATAAAAAAAGCCAAGGGATAGTTGCCTTTATTCGCAATTATCATTACCTGTCATTACCTTCTTTATTATCTCAGCAACCGCAACGAAAATTTCCGTTAATTGTTATGCTTGATTCCATTGAAGACCCTCATAATTTTG